GTGACAGACAAAAGAGTATGTGACAGACAAAAATTGTCAATTCTAATGTCTAACACTTAATGTGGAGAAAGAGATGTCCTGTATGGGTTGATTGTGCGTTGATCTGTTGGTAATGCCTCGGGGTTCCGGTGGGCATGTAAACAAATGCATAATGCTGCGCTATACTTTGTGGCCTCATCCGGTTGCATAGCGACGCTTATTGTTTAGGTGTCTTTTAACAAGCAGGTAGTCATATCATTAGCTAGAACTAGCTAGATCTGATCGATATGGACATAAATGCGAGTAAAGTCTAATCTGACAGGAGAGAGAGATCGGCTGCTGCTGACGAGTCGACACGCAGCTCTGCATGATCCCCTGCAGCGGCGAGCAGAGCAAAACACACTTCAGGTTAGAAAATCACACGTAGCTATTTTAATTACCTCTCAAACTACCTAAACTAGTTATAGATATGTTTAGTTTACTGTCGGGTCACTCATTACTGGATCCGCGAGCTGCATGATACTGACGGGCTGTCAGGAGAAGGAGAGAGCGCTCCGTTTATTATTCCCGCGTTTTTGTAAATTACTGTACACTTTTGAATAATGTAGTTAATCTACTATAATTAGTTTGTTTAATGTCGAATCATATCAATTTGTTTTAAAGCTCAATAAATAACAAAGAAGACCTTTAACCGGCACTTATCTAATTTTGTCCGGAAGATTTCAACTTTAACGGACATGTTGACCGGCAAAAAAATATTCTAACGGGAACTCTGATCCTGCCCGCTTGTGCGCTTTCGTCCCTCCCTAAAAGCCCTCTCGACCAGGTTGTGTTGTGACTTGCAGTCTGTTTAATAAATCCATATAAACACGTTAAAAGAGAAGCTTTAAGGCCCTGATACACAAAGCCGATTTCGGCCGTCGATAGATGTCTGGCCGTCGATGAGCGTCCTGTCGCCCTACTCAGATTGGTGTGTCCCGCACCGTCGTGTCTTTTTCGGCCATGCCGACACCTTCCGCTCCCAATTAGAAATGTTGATTCGGGAGCGGAGGCTGTCGGCAAAATAAATCACTCTGATTGGCTGTTCAGCTTAGCGAATCAGTGCATGAGAAGCGAAACGGAAGTGAGGTACGCAAACAAACGATTAAGAAGGCACACACAGACGGCTATTATTTTTCAAGGGCTGATACCGCCAGTACCGCAATAAACATGTTTTCGATTATAAGTCGCTATGTGAAACAGTCTGTGAAACAGTCTGTGATGGACGAGAGTGAAAATGGAACTCGCACGCTATTTGTTGTTTGTATATATCACAAAGTCTGTCTTCCGGTTGCTTCTTTTGAATGACGAATACACACTACCGCCGCCTGCTGGTAAGGAGAGTTATTGCCACTCACGCATGCGCAGTGCGTATGTGCTACTTGGCTGTCGGCTGAAGTCTTTGCGGTGTGTTCCTGTGCGACTTTTTGGCCAAGACGCAGGAGACGTGAGGCGACACAACAGTCAGGTCCGTCAGGACGTGTTCTTTGGTGTCAGTTTGGTGTGTCAGGGCCTTAAGTTGCCGTGTCTTTATTCTCCGGTCAGCTCTAGCGTACAGTATACTTTTACTAACCTCGTCAAGCCGGAACCTCTTAGCTCGCTACTTCCGGTTTCCGGATAAGGGGTTACCAAAATAAGAGTACTGCGTGTAGCAGTATAATTAAACATTACAGGTTGTGAGTGACATTAGTTATCATATTTATATATGTTTAGTAGGTTGTGGAAGTGCGCTCAAATATTTGTTGATCTTCTTTATTGGTGTTTATTATTTTTATATTTATTTAAATGTGCTCTTTATTTAATTCATTTTTGTATTGGTTTTTCAGTTGAATTATACTTAAAGTTCAGGGTAATCAACTGTTAAAAACATACTGTCCACATTTTTTTTCAAAAGTTCAATAAATAGATGTTTTCAAAGTCAATGGATAATCGTTTTTAATAATCGTGATATCAATATTGACCAAAGATAATCGTGATTATGATTTTTGCCATAATCGAGCAGCCCTAGGCTGAGACAGTCTGTTAAACTCCAGTCTGTGGGTGTTTCTCAATCGCGAGTACGCTTGCTTGGTAGCACATGCTGTCATGAAAGATGAGGCTGAATTTATTTTGTTCACATTTTTTTTCTTAATTTTGTATTTATTGTTTTAACGTAAGAGAGGTTTTTCATGAACAATTATGTCCAAGGAGTGTAGGGTTTGGGAGTTATGGCAGGTTGAAGAAAAAGGTTGAAGGCGAATTTCAAGCTCTCCTCCACTCTAGCTGTGACACCACGCACTTTAACCCTTAACGAGCTGCGCAATACACACTAATGTTAAAATCTGAAGAAGGCCTCTTTACCAAGCTCCAAACTAAGTTGAATATCTCAAAAAGTGTACAAAATATCAAAAATCTGAAGAATAAGTTTAATAGCTGAATGTCTTGTGACCGTTTTAAAGTTGGAACGAAGTCTCTAGCTGAAAGTATGTGGAAGCAGTAGCATTTTGCACATGGTGTAGGTAAAAGAGGATTTGAAGGTTCCTCCTATGAGGTTACAAGTCCAGGGCTCAACGCTAACTTTTAAAAGTGGTTGCCAGCCTGGCAACCAGGCATCAGCTTTTGGTTGCCAAAACTGAAAATACGGTTGCCATTTTTAGTCACCTTATATTTTAAATAATTAAGATACTATACAGTTATACATCAACTTAATAATGAACATGTGACACAAAAGAAGGTTTAAATGCTTTACAATAAGTAATTAACACAATTATTTGAAACTTAAGTGGTAGTAAACTTGTCCACCCTCAACTGCTGGTATACAAAATACCAGTAGTGCAGCTGCTGTCATGTTCTTCACAGATCCACAAATGAATTGAGCAAGTCACTAGTTTCTTGGTCATCCGCTGTCTCCCTTTCAAATGTGGGTTTTCCTGACCTTTGTGCTGACCCCCACCATAGATCCATTGGCCCTTCAGCATTGAAGTCTTGGATTGGCCGGACTAATACATTTCTAATGTTAAATAAATTAAAACCATTCACAGTTAAGAATTAGATATTAATTATTAATGCTGTAAATTACCTTTTAATGTCTAACTATATTTAAAATGTGTTAACTTTTTATAGAAGTTATTATATTTTTATGCCAATATTTTCCTATTGTACCGTCTACTCACCCACACCCGAATCCGTGAACACATCACCCCCGTCCTCATCAAGCTCCACTGGCTCCCCATCCCCCAGATAATTCAGTACAAAATCCTCCTAATGACATACAAAGCCCTCCATAACCTGGCCCCATCCTACCTAACTGACCTCCTCCACAGACACACTCCCACTCGCTCCCTCCGCTCTGCTAGTGCCAACCTCCTGTCCCTCCCCACCCGGACCAACCTCAAGTCCTGGGGCGGCAGAGCCTTCTCCGTTGCTGCACCCACCCTCTGGAACTCACAACCACAATCCATCAGAGATTCTTCCTCCCTCACAGCATTAAAAACATCACTCAAAACCCACCTGTTCAACACTGCATTCAACCACTGACCACCCCCCCCCCCCTATTTTCTGTTTTGTTTATCTCTTTTTGTATTTTTTTTTTTGTATTTTTTTTTAATTCTCTATCAAAGCGTCTTTGAGTTTCTTGAAAAGCGCTATACAAGTCTCATGTATTATTATTATTATTATTATTATTGTAAAATTTCGTTTTGCACTTTAATTTTGGTAGTATAAGATCGGGACTCTTATTTTGAAGGAACTTTTACCGGAAGTGAATGGACAACGGAGCAGAATGTTTCGCCTCCCAAGACTTTTCCCGTTTCCTCTTTGCTTTTCGTTCGGGTCCACCTTGCGCTTTATCAGTTGAATCACTTTGAACATTCGTTTGAGATGTTGACGGGTTGGCCGAACTTTTTACCCCACAGTCAAACTACTTAATTTGCTTCGCCATTTTTTGTAAAACAAACACACGGCGCACCGCGCACGCGAGTAAACGTGCATCGCTTTCTGGCTCCGTAATCACACCAATGCACGTGCAACTTTAGTATCAGGTTCCGACTGGTCACAAAAATAATTAAATATCACTCTTAATACAACAAATAATTAACATTTATATATTTTGGGGTGCACATTTTGCTGTTTGCTGTCCTGATTTCTTTATGTTAAAAACTGGTTGCCACTGATGGCAACCAAAGGCCAAGAAGTGGTTGACATTTGTTCTGAATGGTTGCCAATGGCAACCTGGCAACCGTTACTGTCGAGCCCTGAAGTCATAGCAGTCATGTCCTGAAGGAGCTGAACATTTTAATATTTGAATGGTTTCTGTAGCTGAAAGTATGCTGAAGGAGTTAAACGGCAAACATTGGTCGAAATAAGTTGAAGAATAAAGATTTGAAGAACAATTGTGGAATGCTGTTGCACAGCATTCACACTAATTAGTGCCACCTTAACCAGCTTGATAAACGCATCAATAATTATAATCAAAACGATTAGGAGTGTGAAGTTGGCCAATCTGCATAATGAGTGTTTTTACTTTTGATACTTTAAGTATATTTAGATGCCAACACGTGTTATTCTTTTACTTGAGTAACATTTTGCAATACAGGACTTTGACTTGTAGAAGTATTCTTACACTTTGGTATTTCTACTTTTACTTAGGAACAAGATCTGAGTACTTCTTCCACCTTTGCCTACATGCAAGATGTTTTTGTTGTTCCTTCTAACATTAGTAGACCGATCGCTGATGGATTCATGCTAATGAATTCATGCTAATGAATCACTTATTTTTATCCAGTATTATAATGTTTTGATTTGAATAAGTACTGTAACTTGGAGTACTTTTGAGTATATGTTGTTGCCTATACTTTAGTTCTTTACATTTTGAATTCAGGGTTCCAACTTGTAACAGAGTGTTTCTACATTGTAATTGTACAACTTTTACCAAAGGAATAATTATGAATACTTCCTTCACCACTGTTAAACATGTTTTTAAATGTTTTTTTCATCCATGGTAGCACTGTACCAGAAGAGTCTCGTTGCTGTCTGGAGGATGACCACATAGGAAGCAGACATTCAGTGTGGGCTAGAAAACTTGGAAGAGCTTTTATTCAAGATGAATGTCTTACAAGGTATGTAGCAAGATTACATCTTATCTAAATTTGCTGCAAGTAGAATTGTGTTTTTTGAAAAGTTGGTATTCATTTAGTGTACAAGAAAATGCCCCTCATAGTCAAAAAAAAGTATGATAGTAGAAGAAATTAAATTAAAATATGACAAATACTATAAAGATATCTGCAATATGTCCAAAATATTCAAATTTAAATGAGCTGCACAGTTATAAGATGAATCAAAATACATTAGCCACTAAACATGCTGCTTGGCAAATCCCTTTTATCTAAAGAAATAAAATAAATGGTCATTATGTCAAAGATATTGCCTAATGCCTATCACAAGTAACCAGAGTACTTTGAGAAGCTAAGGGTCTAATATATCTAGTGCAGTGACGTGCGGTGAGGTTCATGGCTGGTGAGGCACTGACTCTTTCAGAGTCAGATTTACAAATATTATAGCCTATTTTGACCGTAATCGAAATATTCTGTTATTTTCAAAAGCTTTTTTAGTCTGATGCTATGATTAATTTTAAACAGACCGATCAACAAAAGGATACCCAAAATCGAAATATTGGATTGTTCTTTCTAAGTAAGATCCCATTTTCATTACAGTTGTGGTCTTACCTTGACTTGAAGATGAATATAAGTCCATGCTATCCTTCTGGACAACAATCTCTATTACTGTTTTGTAAAAGTCCTCCTTATCTTCCTGTAGTTTCAAAAGTCTAGTTTGTTGTTTGCGGTAGAATAACAGTAGCAACAAGAACCTGTGGGCTCACGTGCGCCCCCTTCAGTGCGGCAGAGGTTATGGCTGCCTCTCCTGGTGCTTTTTTCATTGCCGTTGTACGATGAGACCAGCGAGCCTAAATATCATATATACGTGAAATAAGTTATTTAGAGACTATGGATGGCGAGGATAAATGTAATAAAGGGATCGACAAACATTACATTGGTGACCTACAGTGAGAGGGTAACAGGCATGCGCTTAGGGCCCGCTTTCCAGCCAGTTTCTGTGGGGTGACGCATTCTGAAGTGAGGCAGATCTCATCTGTGCCTCACCTCACCTCACAGTAAATGGCTTGAGCGCGCTCACAAAATAAGTGGCCGCGCTAAATTAGTGCCCGCGCTCCAGCAAGTTACTGTGGGCTTACGTGAGGCAGTGCTCGTCCCTGCCTCACTTCTCATCGCTCCCGTAGCGGAGCTCGGCCAATTTGCTGATTTTGACTATAAAATGCGATTGGAATCATACAGAAATCACATTTACAACACAGATCAGTGGAGACATTTTATTATTATTATTATTTAGTTTTTCCTTTAATTGTTTTTCCGTTACATTGGAGTATGACAGGTGAGGCTCTGCCTCCACTGACTGCACGTCGCTGATCTAGTGTCAGATATCTGGTATTTTAGTCTGATACATATTATATAATTAATACTTTGGTTAAAAAATAGTGTGATTCATTTTTATATAATTTCATTCTTTTTTCTAACTAAATACAGGAAAAGAAAACATACAAGGCAAAGAAGAACAGTAGGTGAATTCACTGCAGATGGAAAACAAGGACAACTGCTGTATGAAGAAAAAAGAAAAAAGATGGATGCCAACAAAGTATGGCAGTGGCGCATTATGTGTGTAGACAAATATTCAAGACATCCAGAACCTTTCCAGTGCAGCAATAGGATTGGATTGGATTTTAATGTAGCATCCAACAACCATCAAAAACTGGATATAGGTTTAGTGACAAATGGGGTCATACTTGAGGTCTGTGACTTTGCTAAAACAGTAAACAAGAGTAAAAGGCATTTTTTCACAAACATTTTAGAGAACAATTTCAATCTTGATTTGGAAAATGATCAACAGCGGATTGACTTTACATCTCGAATTATGCGCAAAGTTAAAAACTTGATTGGGAAACCTAAAGATAAAAATGAAGTTTTCACTCTCTTTGACACACCATGTAATCCAGAATGCTCGAGCAGCAATGAACCGAACATGGTATCCACAAAGCATAAGACTGAAAGTATCCTGGTGGAGACGGATGACACTGATGATTGGGAACATGAAGATGAATTACAGTGTTCACAAGCAACATCCAAAGATTGCATTAAGGCAGAAAGTCTCTTGGAAGTGATGGATAGGGCACAAAGTGATGACAGTGACTATGAAGATGAATTAAAGTTTTCAGAAGCACAGTCAGCAGAGAAACAAAAAGATGATGATTTTTCCAAGTTGTTTCCCTTTTGTGAGAAAATTGGTCTGAACCTTGATTTTGGGTCAAAACAAAGTCTAGAGCCAGGTTTGCTGACAAAGGGCATAATGTTAGAGTTAATTCACTTCACCAGAATTCTCACTGCATCCTACAGCCCTATTGTTCTGGATGTTTTGGAGCACAATTTTGAACTTGATCTAAAAAGTCAACAAGAAAAAAGTCGAGCTTTGTTCAAGATATCGCACTTGCTGAAGAAAAGAACGAGATTTCTCAACATTGGTACCAAAATAAGCCCAGAGTTTAAAACTGAGCTGTTTTCATTCCAGACAAATCCCTTCAAAAGACACAGAGAAACAGCTCTGTCTGATATGGAAGCTCCGCAATATCAGTTTAAGGAAGTGACAAAAAGAAGGCAGTCTGATTTAAAAAGTAAACAGGCAATCAAAAGGTGCAAAAGAGACATGGAAACAAACACACTCTCTTATCACACTAATTTGTATAGCACTACTACAGCAGAGGGAGATCATTGTCACACTTGTCCTGTAGGAAAGTCTGATTCAGACTCTGGCAAAAAATGTGACATGGAACAAGAAGTAATGGGAACAGAGGGAAACTGTTCTTATCCCCTGGGATCATCTCAACTAATCTTGGACAAAGCCACAGATTCAGGAAACTTTTGCAAACAGAATCAGTCACAAAACCCCAAAAGTTCTCTCGGCTACGACATTCCTAGAAAACCAGAATCAAACTGTCTTCATGTGCCTTTCCTCAACACCAATTACATTGTATCCACTTTACCAACTGATAACTTAAATGTGATTCCACCACTTGCGAGTCAACCTAATGAAGGAGGGCATTGTGGAGTTGAGGAGAAATCTCAGACTCCAATAAATGTTCCAAACAAGTCAGATGTGGAACAAGAAGAAATGGAAACAGAGCACGACATGTGGAAGTTGCGTGCTAACCGTGTAAGAAAAATCCTCTCAACATTCGTGTTTAGTCCATTATTCAAGTCAAGGAAATTTGCCCTTGAATTCAATGTTGGATTTAGTGCAAAGAAGAACATCAGTGTTGACAACTTGCATGACGATCATCTGCTCGAAGTTGCTAAATTTGCCATAGCAATGAATTCATCCAAGCAGGATTTCATCATGGAGATTCTTGAGCACAACTTTGACTTCGGCCTGCAAAGTGAATACCAGCGAAATATATTCACATTGGAAATTATGAATCGAGTGAGAGAGCTAGAAAATTGTGAAGATGCAATTAAATTCTCAAATGAGGTTTTTGAGCTTCCTGGTCGTCCTGGTATGGGCAATGTAAAACCTCAACTCGGCAACATAATGAAAATAGAAGAGTGCAAGTTTTCTCCGCTGCTCCCACCTCATTCTCAAGCTAACACTTCAGAACATATTTCACAGAAAAGTTTGGATCTTTATCCCTTCTGCCAGGAAATAGGTCTGAAACTAAATGTGTACAATCCACAGCTAAATAAAAAACTGGATATTGACAAACTCTCCAATGGATCAATGACTGAGGTGACAAACTTTGCAGAAAAGTTGTGTGGAAAATTTGCCCAGATATGTCTTGACATCCTCAAACACAACTTTTGCTTTGATTTCCAAAGTGGAGATTCTGACCTGGCCGGAGATATTCTTGCACGGATTCCTTTTATAGTGGATAAGCAGAATCTATCAAATTGTGCAATTCATAGAACTGGAAAGGACACCACAAAAGACTCTGCAACAATGGTAAAACTTGATTGCCAGAGGAACCCACATTTAGATGCATGTAGTGATGGATCTTCTCAGTCTGTGGAAATAGTCCGACCGGTAGGCAGATCTACTGACTTTGTACAGCAAGATGAGCTAAATTTAAAGTTGTGGAAATGTCGAGCTAATCACATTAAGCAAATCCTCTCAGTACCCCATGAAGAACATTGCCCACTTTATTCTTTTTCTCGATGTCAGAAACTAGGCATTGATTTCAATGTAGGATCTGGAATAAAACAAAATCTTGATCCCAAATTGTTGACCAATGGTATCATGGTTGAAATAAACACCTTTGCTGCAGCAATGCGATCAGCTCAAAAGCACTTCATCACAGAGATACTGGAGTATAATTTGAATCTTGATTTAAAAAATGAGCTGCATCGCAGTGCCTTTACACAGCAAGTATGGAAAAAAGTAATACCAATGAATATCAAGAGATCCAAACATTGGTTGATGAATACTCTTTTTGAACTGCCTGACTTGATGTGCCTACCAAATCCTTCAACATATTGCCCCAAATGCTTTCAAGAAAGAAGTCATAAGCTTTGTCAGAATGACTTTGACCCTAGTCATATACATCATCCTCGTACTCGTACCACAGCGGGCGCTGTCTCTGATGATGCAAACTACACAGGACAAAAGACTGTAAGGGATCGGTCTTCTACCTTCTTAGGAAGAGAGGAAACGATAATGGACAACTACCGTTGTTGCCAAAAAAACGGTTTTATGCTGTTTGCAGATGAACACCAACCAAAATCTAAGATTGATATACCTGTATTGACATATGGGATTATGAATGAAGTTGCCAGATTCACCAAAAAACTGCGTGGGACTAAACTTAGCATCATTAAAGATGTCCTTGAACACAACTTCAACATGGGCATGCAGGGGAGAAATTTTTCTCGTACGATGTATTTCCAAAGACTGACACCAAACTGGTTCAATGAAGTTTATGTTTTTTACAAACCGAAAACTACTCAAAAGAAAAGAAAGTATGCACTACAAACAAAGAAAACAAGAGCAAACTACACTTGTCCTCTAGGAGAGTCTGATCTAGACTCAGACAAAATGACAGATTCAGAAAACCTAGGCATTCAGAATCACTGTTTTCTAAGCTCAGACATCCCAGGACAATTAGAATCAAGTTGTCTGGGTCATCCCGTGCCTTCCCTCACCTCCGATGACATCTCATCCAGTGTACCAAATGTAAACTCAAACGTAAACAAACCCTTTGCTAATCAACCAAATGAAGGAGGGCGTTGCGGATTTGATCAGCTGACACAAACTTCAAGAAATGAAATGGACAAAGGTGACATGAAACAAGAAGAAATGGAAACAGAGAACTCAAACCTTAACCCACCCTTTGCTAATCAACCAATGGAAAGAGGGTGTTTTGGAGTTGAAGTGCAAACACAAACTTCAAGAAATACACCAAACAAATGTGACGTGAAACAAGAAGAAATGGAAACGGAGAACAACTTGTGGAAGTTGCGTGCTAACCGTGCAAGAAAAATCCTCTCAACATTCGAGTTTGGTCCATTCAACAACTCAAAGGAATTAGGTCTTGAATTCCATGTTGGATTTGGTGCAAAGCAAAATATTAGGGTTGACAATTTGCGAGACGCTCATCTGCTTGAAGTTGCAAAATTTGCCTTAGCAATGAATTCTTCCAAGCAGGATTTCATCATGGAGATTCTTGAACACAACTTTAATTTCGGCTTGCAGAGTGAAGACCAGCGAAACATATTCACATTGGAAATTATGAATCGAGCGAGAATGCTGGAAAATTCTAAAGATGCGATCAAATTCTCAAATGAGATTTGTGTACTTCCTATTTTCCCTGGTATGGGCAATGTAAAACCTCAACTCGGCAACATATTGAAAATGGAAGAGTGTGATGTTGCTCCCGGGTTCCCAACTCATTCACAAGCTAAAACTTCAGAACATTTTTCACAGAAGGGTGTAGATATCTATCCGTTCTGCCATGAAATAGGTCTGAAGTTAAATGTTAACAATCATCAACCAAATAAAAAACTGGACATCAACAAACTGACAAATGGATCAGTGGCTGAAGTGACAAACTTTGCAGAAAAGTTGTGTGAGACTTTTGAGCAGATTTGTCTTGACATTCTGACACACAACTTCGATTTTCATTTGCAAAGTGGAGATCCTGACCTTGCCAGAAGCATTGTTGCCCGAATTCATGCTACAGTGGAGCAAAGGAATCTAACACTCTATGTGAAACCCTTCAAGGGACCAAAGAACCGAGGAAAAGAACATCTATTGGGGAAACTGAAATTAAGGAACAACCTTAATACAGATGGATGTAGTGCTGGTTCGTCCCATACTGCTATCACAAACCAAGAAGTAGGCAGTTCTGCGGTTGAACAGAAAAATGAACTAGATTTAAAGCTGTGGAAAGTGCGGGAAAATCGTATACAGCAAATTCTCTCAACACCTCATACTGAACATTGTCCATTATATTCTTACTCTAGATGCAGGACATTAGGCATTGATTTCAATGTAGGATCTGGAGAAAAACTAAATCTCGACCCAAAATCACTGACCAATGGCATCATGGTTGAATTGAATACGTTTGCCACAGCACTGATATCAGACCAAAAGCACTTCGTCACAGAGATATTGGAGTATAATTTTCCTCTTGATTTAAAAAATGAACTGTATCGCAAGGCCTATAAAGAGCAACTATGGACAAACATAAAGGGAGTAAATGGGATGAAAATGCACTTTGTGAATAAGCCTTTTGAACTGCCTGGCTTGATATGCCTACAAAATCCTACAAAATATTGCCCCAAATGCTTTCAAGAAAGAAGTCATAAGACTTGTCAGGATGACTCTAACCCTAGTCACATGCATAATCCAGCTACACATACCATGGCGGACACTGTCTCTGGGGATGCAAACTGCACAGCACCAAAGCCTGAAAAGGTTCAGTCCTCTTCCTTCTCTGCAATAGAGGAGATGATAGTGGAATACTTTCCTGCTTGCAAGAACACAGGTTTGAACCTGTTTGTTGACAAAGACCAAGCAAGAGATAAACTTGACACCAATGTACTGACTCACGGAATTATGTTGGAAGTGGTTGGTTTTGCCAGATCATTGTGTGGAACAAAGGGTGAGATCATTGTTGATATCCTTGAACACAACTTTAACATTGACTTGCAGGGGACAAGTCCTGCACGTTTGTTCTACTCTTTAGCCCAAAAGAAAGGTGGGCCTGACTGGTTTAATGAGGTCTTTGAAATTCCATTTCAGTCTTCTCAGAGACAACTTCCAACTCGTAAATCGACTCCGCGAGATCAGATTCAGGGTGCTGGATGGAGGGAGGCTATTAAAAAAAGAAAGCTGGCACTGCAAACAAAGGAGGAAAAAGACGCAATGACAAGTGATAATCCTTACAAGATACAATACAAGAGTAAAAAAACAAATGCAATGTGTTGTAGTAAGGTGATCCGTTATCCCAATTGCACGGAGATAGGTTTGGATTTGGATGTAACAAAATCCGGAAAGAAAGAAAAACTGCACTTGAGGCTATTGACCCAAGCTGTAGTGTCGGAGATACATAAATATACACAAACAAAAAAAGGACACTATTTGCCAAGCACTTGGTATGACATCCTTGACTATAACTTTGATATTAGCTCCCAACATAAAAGAAGCTGGGAGTTTTCAATAGCTGTAACGACCAAAGTCCAAGCCATGCTCAGACGTTATGACAAATACAGATGCAGTAAGGTAAACAAGATCTTCGAATTGCCATTTCTATTTGCTTCCGATGCTTCACAAAGTCATCTAGAGAAGAGACAAAATAAGCAATGTCAGCTCTTTGGTCGTTTTGTGCGCCAAATGAAGTACCATTCAGGTGTTAATTGTGTTCATTTTCTCGAAGGCCACAAAACAAAATATTGGATCCTTCGTGATGGCACAAAGGTACAAAGAGATCCTAGGAAGATTGTCCAAAACAATGGGAACCAAGTGGGTGATGGTTGTGGCAGTCCTCTCCAGGGAAACTTGCAAATCAAAGAGGAGGAGTGGCATCCATGTTATGGAAATATAAAACCAAAACCGGACACAGAGGAAAAATATTGTCCTCTTCATGATGATGTCAAAACGGAGTCAAACCCTGAGGGCGTTGCGCATTTTGTCCCAGGTGAACCTACAGGAGCCCTTGGATATACGTTAATGACTGCATTGCCAGATTCTGAAAGACGCAAAACGGAACCAGAAAATGAGAATGTCCAGTATTACACCCTGGCTGCACCACAAGGGTCCGTTACACATCCAAACACAGCTTGTAACTTAAATACAGAATGGGACTTTGAAAATGTTGAGTATTCAGTCCCAGCGGAAACAGAAGAATCCCAGGAATACTCCATGGTTATAATAGGTCATGGCAATGAGAGCACATTAATCAAAGAAGAGGAAGATAATGTGCCTGTTGACTTATACCATTACGGTGGTCAATGAAAGTGCAGCAGGCATCTACCAGGGTTACCTACCAGGGTTAACATAAATGGTATGTGTGTTTTGCATTAGAAATGCCATTAGCTGCCTTATTGTAATGCAAATGTATTAATTGTTGGTGTAGAATGAACTTGATGATCTTGCAGTAATGTCTTAATGTCTTGCTGTAATGTATACTTTAAATATCTCACTGTAAATACAAAGACTCAAAGTGTCCACAAATATTGATGTATGCTTAAAGTGTTTAAATGCATAGGGCTATTACATATTATATGTTGAAGCATTGTGAAGCATGAACAATTGTAAATAATTCAATCTTCTTTATTTTATTTTTTTTGCCAGTGGCCCACTTTTGGTAATTTCCAAATGTGTACAAATTTGAATTTGGATATCCTGACGCTTAACTTTACTTGGCGGAAAGAAGATTATTTTGCTTTATTCTTAAACATTCTAGTCTTGTTTTCCTTCATTTGGGCATTTTGTTCATATGTCCATATTTCTTGTTTCTATTTTTAAGTTTTCTCTATTTTTCAAAAATATTTGATGAGTGACATTTTCAAGATTTTGTATATTATAATTTTTTCAGTGGTGGTGTAAATTGGTGAAGATGAGTGTTAGTACTTTATTCATAAATCTGCTAATACAACAACAATGTAGAAAGGAAAAAATACCTGTATCTTGATGGATTAGTTTGTTTTTCATTTTGATTTCACCACACATGTTTGATATAAAGAATGTTCATGCATCCTGTCTACTTCTTTGTTCTTTTCAAATCCAATGAACACGTACTATATAGGATAGGTTTATGACTTATTTGCTTAGTGTCAATTTCTCTGATCTTTCATATTTCAGCATCACTGCTTTTAAGAGTATTTAACACACAATGTCTTATTTTAAATAATATCATATCCTGAACTCAAGCAATACAAGTTTTAGGTTGAGTGAGGTTATGACAGTTAACTTGTTGATGTAATACATAAAATAGGCTGAAGCTGGTGCCCTACACCAGCAGCATTCTTTTAGTTTCCTTTAGGGGCAGCAAAGGCCTTCCACACTCTACACAGCTTATAAACCAAAAAGATGCTGCTAACTACAGATATCTGCATCTCGTTCCATTGGATTCACTCATCACATAGGCCAAATGGGGGAAAAAGGAAATGATGGAAAGGGTTTGTTTACAAAATATTGTACAACTTTAGCCAAAGCCATTTTAAAACACTTTGCATATCAGTAATACGTGTGAATAAAGCACATACAATGTTTAACAGTAATTTTTCTTTGACGAAGACTGACCATTGAAATGATCTTCAAACAGCCGGAACAATGAGGTCAAGGGGTTGTACCTTCAAAGTTAAAGTCTTTAATTGTTACTTGGAACTGACAAATGATTAGATGAGATGATTGTGACAGTAGTTAGTCAGAAATAACAGCAGTCATTTCAGTATGACCCCCTGTGCTGAAACTATGAATCTGGCGTATGTTTATGTAACCGATGTAATTATCTTCTGTGATTCAAGAAGAATGTATACCTCGTTTAAAAGGATTTTTCAATATATAATCTAGCAATGATAACGTATAATATATACACTCATTCGCAAGCATTCAATCAAACATGCTTAAATAAACTACAGATGACATTTATTTTTTTACGTCTGTCCAGGAGGTAGAACTTTTAGATCTTGTACCGTACACAACCATCTAAAATGGTCAAGATAAAGATGAATATATTAATGGAATAAACGGAGAGAGATGGATTACCAAATATTAAACAATTAGTGTTAATCACCTATTTTGTTTTTTTAAAAAACCTTTTACTCCAATAACGTTTACTTGTTGAAAAATGTAGATGGTTATACTTTGGTAAAGTATGTAATTGAATCCCAGGTGTATTTTTTCAAGTTAAAGATGAAAGAAAGTAAAAACCTAATTTCACTGGTTTCATCTCTTAGGGTTTTTTGTTGTTTAAATGATCCTGTATTTAAAATATTGTATTGGTTTTAACATAAAGAACATACAATACCATAAACATCCAATATGCAGAGGGAAAAATATAACATTGAATAGGGATGCAGAGGTGGAAGAAGTACTCAGATATTGTACTTTAGTTAAAGTAGAAGTACCAGAGTCTAGGAATACTCTGTTACAAGTAAAAGTTCTGCATTCAAAATGTTACTCAAGTAAAAATATTGGCAACAAAATATTAAAGTACCAAAAGTAAAAGTACTTATTATGCAAATTGGTCCATTTCCGAATCATATTATATCATATGTTTCGATTATAATTATTGATGCATTCAAGTGTAATCAAAGCTGGCAAAGGGGCAGCTAGTTTTAATCACTGTGTACACTGCAGGGTAGTTTGTGAATTTGCTTCAGGTGAAACTAAAGTCTTGTTTAAGTGCTGGTTATATTTCACATAATTAATCTAAATCTAAATAGTAACTAAAGGTTAAAAATAAATGTATGGGAGGAATAGTACATGATTTTCCTCTGAATTCTACTGGAGTAGAACAAAGTAGCATAAACTGGAAATATTCAAGTAAAATATTAATCCTAAAATTATTTCAAAAGTGTACTTAAGTACAGTACTTGAGTAAATGTACTTAGTGACTTCCCACCTCTGCGTATACGTTTTTTTTATTGTTTGTTACATGCGTTTATCAAAACCTGAAGACTGCCATATGAGGAGCGACAAGGGGCTTTATTGTGAAAATCACATCCGGAAGTTTGAAACGTAACGCTGTGTGGGTTGAATCTTGAGACGCCCATTTCAAGTCCACCCCGCCCCGGCTGCTGGATCAGTTTCTCCCTCTCCTGCAACCAGATTTGCCAGCCTGGATGCCGGATCACCGCAGATATTCTACCGCAACAGGTAAATCACCAGGAACCAGGATAGGATAACAAGTAGCACACACTGGACACTATCGCTGTTGACCTTGCTTTTTCCCTCACCTTTTCTGGGAAGGTAAGTTGGATGTCCTTCTTTATTAAACACAAAATGTAAAAGGCGATGCAGTGTAGTATTGACAATGTGGTTTAAAAATGTAGCCAACATTTGAATTTTAAAGATTGCACACACTAAAATAATCCTGACACATTTCTCTAAACCCTGAGTGATAGCCTTTTGTTTGCATTTTAGATGAAGAAAACACCATATGGGAAGAAGAAAAAAAGAGTGTCAGACGTTATATCTTTCTCTTAATATGCTCAAATGCATTTCTACAGTTTAACAATATCCCATGTAATGATAATTAAACATTAAAGGGCAAAAAGGGCTATCTACTGCAAATTGCCTCTCTTGTCAATATTACACATTGCCAGTGACACTATCAAGTGAGTATGTGATGTGATGAATGCTTTTCTTTTTGGTTTAGTTTTTTTTAGTCCAGGATATTTCTGGATCTCCCCATAGAGGAAACTTTAAAGCATTTAAAATGTAAAGGGCTTATCAGATGTTTGTATTGTTCTATTGGTCCATAATGTGATTTGGGCAAGTTTAGCTTATCCATGCTCATTCACTGCAGCATAGACTAATTATAGAGATTGCTTAGTGTGCATGCGAGTTTGTGTGTCCTGCTGCTCTCAGTGAAAACAGAAAGAGGAGGCTTGTCTTTGCTGAAGTGGGCAAAGTCCATTTATGGTAAATATTTTTATTGATTTTCTCAGTTTTTTAACAAAAGCAAGTGATACAAATTCAGTAAAGATATATACACATATGCTGACAAATCAAAATCTTCATTTCAATCCCACCACTCTCCCACCCACCCAACCCACTAACCCATTGAGTTACAGGATACAGAGCCCTTTAACAGTAAAATACAATATTTTCATAATGACATTAGTTCAAGGGGGGCAAAGGAGGAGAAAGAAAAAGAAAACACAGAGATAAACACAAAGAAAGAAAATAATAATAATGATAATGGAATAGAAATTTAAAAAAAAATGAATCAACTGCTCACTGCTCACCGCTCAATCCAACCTTATTCTTTATCAAGTGGATCTTGTAAGGAGTCATAGAAGTCCAGAAAGGGTTTCCATGTTCTAATAAAGGTGTTAGAGGAGCCCCTGAGTAAGAACTTCATTTTCTCTAGCTGTAAGAAGTACAAAACATCTTTGACCCACTGAGAAAAGGATGGAGGGGAATGTTGCTTCCATTTTAGAAGAATCAAACGTCTCGCAAGAAGTGTAGAAAAGGCTATAACTATCTGAGCACTGTTTGGTAGGGATGCACAGGTCACCTTTGGTGCCAAACCAAAAAGGGCACAGAGCGGGTCAGGCTCAATACGAGTTTTAAACATTTCACTAAAAGATTTAAAAATACATCTCCAGAAAGTAAAGAGGCTGGGACATACCCAAAACATGTGTATTAGGTCTGCTGGCTGGCTTCTGCATCGGGGACAAGACGGTTCAACCTCTGGATACATTTTAGCCAATCTAGCGTTAGTTAAATGAGCTCTGTGTACCACTTTCAGTTGTATCAGGCTGTGTTTAGCAGAAGAGGAAGATGTGTGCACCCGGTCCAGGACTGATTCCCACTGGTCATCCGTCAAAGTTCTTCCCAGATCAGATTCCCAAGCAGCTCTTAAATGTTCAATAGGGTGCGGATTGACATTACCAATGAGATCATAAATCAGTGAAATCAGTCCTCTACGGTCTGACTTCAGTTCGAGGATATGGTCAATATGTGACTTTATGGGCTTATTTGGAAAAGAGCTGAATGTCTTACATACAAAGCTCCTAATTTGTAGGTAACGAAAGAAGTGATTTTTAGGTAGGCTATACAGTTCAGATAATTGAGAGAAAGATGCAAATGTGTCTTCAATGTAAAGATTATAAATGGATTTAATCCCATTATTAAACCAAACAGTAAAAGCCGGGTCTGTACAGGATGGGGTAAACATGTGGTTTGACTTAATGGGGGAGAGAACAGAAGCACCCTGTAGTCCAAAGTGCCTCCTAAACTGAGCCCATATTCTTATTGAATTACTTACTATTACACTCGACTTCAAATTAGTGTTGAGAAGGGGTAAACCTGTGCAAACCACTGAGCCCAGGTGGTGTTGATATGAAGAAAACTCTAATTTCACCCAGTCCGCTTTTTCAGACATCGGTTTGTTTTCAAACCAGTGTATCAACTTCTGAATGTTGCATGCCCAATAGTAGAAAAGGAAATTAGGTAGAGCGAGACCTCCTGATCGTTTTGGCCTTTGCATATGAGCTTTACTGATCCGACTAGGTTTATTCCCCCATAGGAAAGAAATAATACATTTATCAAGAGTCTTAAAAAACGATTTCTTAATAAAGACGGGGATGTTTTGAAAAAGATATAAAAACTTTGGTAACATTACCATTTTAACGAGATTGACGCGCCCTGTTAGAGATAATGGTAAGGAGGCCCAGCGGTTCATATCTTGTTTACACTTATTGAGAAGAGTGGTAAAGTTTTTAGTGAAAGTAGTAAGGAGAGAGCGAGTGACCTCAATTCCTAAATATTTGAAGCCATCTTGAGCCCTTTTAAAGGGGAAAAGGCTAGGGGGGAGTACATCGGCTGCAGAGTTTAAAGGGAAAAGTTCGCTCTTTTGTAAATTTAATTTATAACCCGAGACTTTCCCAAATTGATCGAGGATATCCAGGATATAGGGAAGCGATGAGGCATGCTCGGATACATATAAAAGCAAGTCATCCGCATAAAGGGACACCTTCAACTTTTGTCCTGCCCGATCAATGCCTTTGAAATCCTTACATAAACGG